TACTGGTACATGTAATTAGTGTCTTGGGCATCTCGTGGAAGTCTTGTTTTTCTCTCTCGCTCAATTGAATACATGTATATTATGCTTATGTTCCTCAATCACCGCTACATGCTCGTATTCCAAATGATTTATGGCCATATATCTAATGGGGAAAATAATCCGAGTCTAAGAGAAACATAAGATTAATGATTGGAGAATATTATGTTACGCGATGTAAATGTCTATCGCAATTGTGATATATGTTTGTATGTAGGTTGTATATATCTCTTTAATTTCCTCATGTTGCTTCTCCTACTTCTTCTTTTTTTAAATGTGTATCTGTTTTTACATAATTATGTGAAAGTATTTTTCAAGGATTTGTCTTATAATTTAGTTTCGGTTTACAAAAGGATCATGCTTCATGTGAAAGAATATTTTTTGAAATAGTTTTCTTCTCAGGCTTTCTTTTTCGTCAGCTTGCTTTGGCTTTTTATTATTGTGTTGGATATGATACCATATCCTCTACTCACGGCCGCCTTCAAATTACAATTTTTTTTTTTTTATTTTGATTTAGTTTATAAAAATACTTTTGTGGGGTTTTATTTTTAGTTTGTCGGCATAATAATGACCACTTATGATGAAGTGGTTTCTACATTTTTAAGGTTAGAAACTACGACACGGGCACAACCGAGAGACTTATTTTTAGGGGTGTATGTAAGGTATGACAGACTTGATTTTCAAACGAGCTCATTTCTCCCAAACCCCTCGACTCTTGATTTGAATACTACGTGGAAAGTGTTGGAGTACTACAAATACTCTTGCTTAAGCTATTGCTCTTCAATCTCTATTTCTTTCTAAATTATTTTTTTCAAAGGACACGCATAACGAATAAGCCTGTTCACTCTCTGCACCGCACCCCACCCCCTCTCCCCATTTCGCTACACCCCACCTTCCGTCAAGCGACTCTTACGCCACTCGCCGTTCCTCGTTCCTCTATACACAGCCCCCGGGCGCGAGATAATGATGGCTATTTTGACAGCGTGTGTCAATGTGTCGTCCCAACTTCTTGCATAAGAACGAAAGGAGAAGAGAAACCATCGACGGCATCGGAAATACAAAGGGCATCCTTCTGCATCCTTGTCATGCGCGCTGGAAGACCCCCAGGCCATAGCCGTCATTGCAGACGAGAGAAAGAGACGTCAAATACCTTGTCCCACTATCACCATGGCGACCGAGCATCTTCATCATCAGGTTATATGGCGGGAAGCGTTAGTCAAGCGTGTGTATTATGCGCGGAACGCCTGTTTTATTCGGACGATATTATAACTCAATTCTATCTTAAGGTTGTATACTCATTTAAAAATGACACAGATTTTGTATAGTATGCAGCCATGGTGTGTGTATTGTAATGTATTCTAAGATATTTCAGCAGAAGAAGGAAAAAAACGTTTAAATGATGCGTTTTGTTCAAATTATTATCATATTCATTATTTTATATTATAGCACTGCCGAATTCTTATAGCAACATTGATATTACCAAGTAACTGTTCAGATCCAAAATATCATTTACCGGTTCAACTAAAGAATAAATAGAACAAATACATTTCAGGCAAAAATTTACGAAGAAATCAAAGCAATTTAATGAAAACACGGAATCGTTCTTAAACATTCAATCTACAAAGACTCCCGACTTTTGTAAACATAATCTCGTTTTTTATTATGAAATCGAGATGAAATTTTGTCTGACTAATACGTGTTTATAATAATTATGTATTTGTTTGTATTGGGTAACGATATAATGCACATAGCCTATTCATGCAAAGTCTTAAATAGCATGGGCCTTATGAATAAATGAATGCCTTGTTTTTGAATGAATAATTTTCAACTTACTTACCTTTAAAACTATATCATTTAAAAATATATTTATTTCTGGGGAGGGGGATTAAAAATCAGACTATCAGACCCACTATCTTTAGATAACATGCTTCGATAATCTAACAATATCACTGTCATATTCGCACATTTCAAAACATGATGCGCAAGGCTATTGACATTTCTTGAAGGTCTTTGCGATTGTGTTTAAGCCTGTACTGGTTTGGCCATGAGAGATTAGACCTCCCTGCATGGTCAGTGACAGGTGGTTATCTCTTCAAATCAGCTCTCAATTAACATTAGAAATAGGGGACATTGTTTGTTATATAGAGGGCGCAAGTAGCGATACGTAGCGCAGTGGGGCTTGAAAATGAGTAAAACACCCGCGTACCTTCATGAACTGCTAAAAATTGCTGTGTGCTTGAACCAAAGAGATATCCTCCTTGCTTGAACTAGGGTGTTGTAACTCCCGGGTTGAACCTATCCCAAAGCAATCTCGTGAACTAATCCTCACTAATGCACTCGGAGTAGTAAACGCATTGCAATTAGCTATATTATCATATTTTGTAGCGCCATGAATACGGAACGGGAAATGTAAAGTTAAAGGTGCGCACTCTTTTTAAAGGGATATTAGGTATCTTTGTCCCAGATTCTAAAACAAAATCCTGGATTTAGCTCATCCTGAAATCATAATTATAAACCTTTAGGTCAATCAGGAATCCCGTGACTTTTACAAGCAAATCACATGTTTGGTTATCAAGATATTTATGATTGGAGTTCGAAATTTCAAAAAACATTTTTCCCAATGATAAAAGGACTACAATCTATTGAGGAAAATGAGTATGGTAAAACCGTCACTCACAGATTTTTACTTTTTCGAAGCACATTTTGAAGCGCAATTTGTTTAGGGCTTCAATATTACACCATATCATAGACACGTAGGGTCATGCATCTCAGATTTTTATACTGGAAACATTGTTAAACAATGCCTTTAAACCTTGATATTACCCTTTGTGAATTCGGATAACTTGTAAGTATCACCAGAAGCGATTTAAAAAATCTATGAGAACCCGAGAGGGCGACATATCACTTTCTGTACAACTAAATGCTGACTCCCCGCACGAAACAATTTTGGGGGTTCGGGTGTTTGTACTCATATTGCTCTGATTGTCTCATTTTCGCTCGCGTGAACATTGCCAGCACAAACCACTGACCTCTGCCTCCTGAACGGATCATCGCCCATTCCATTCACTATACGTTACGTACTATAAAGGCTGTATTGTCTGACCGTTCATGAATATTCATGTTTTTGCTAAACTCGGCAAAATGTTTGCTTTTACTAAATGGAAAAATTACGGTGGGGGGTTGGATGAAATGGACATAATGAAATAGGCAGAAGTGATCTATGATAATTCATGCTTTTTATGTTTCGTGTGCTCGACCTATAACCTTCAAATCGCTTGGTAAACTGAGTCCAAAGTTAGACTTGTTTCACACGTGTATTATAGGCAATGACGAGCTTGCAACCTATTTTGAAAAATTACGGTGGGTGAACTTTCAAAAGTCAATGAGACATGAGGGCTCCAATGGAAGAGCTAGTGATAACGTACGTCGGGGTGGATGTGCTTTTCGTTTAAACAAAAAATGAATTTTTAACGATTTTTTAAAAAAACGTCCATAGGCTAACATGTTAGGCTGCCGACTCAGATCATGCTCTGACGATAGGGGGCGTTGTGAAATGAGACTAACCAGAGCCATATGTCCAAAAATGGGGTACAAATGGAAAAGGAAAGGGTAGGGTAAAATGTGGTTGTTGTTGTTGGGTTTATCGGCGCTATCCATCGATTCCGATGATTTCCGCCAGGCTGTGTGTGAGGGCGTCTTGCTCTCACTTCTGCTGCTCTACGTTTCTGTGACTCTGATACTTCCCCGGTGTGTGAGATAAAGATTTACCTGACCTATGTTATTGGCGAAGTGCAAGATTATGGGGGGTTAATGTGCTCGTTACTTATTATTTTTTAGTCATTTAATGTTAGAGCAGGTTGGAATTCATATCATGAAGTTTCGCTGTCAATTTATAGAGTTAATGATAAATAATGTGTCTCATGTTTAATAGTATGCGCATATAATTATCGGCTGCCATCATTTATTCAGGCTTTCGTATGTCCATCATCTCCTCCGTCACTCTGTTACTTTTGTGGTGATCTAGATCGAGAAGTTAAATCGTGAGGAACGTAGTTCTGAGACAGTTAGTATTCCTCTGTTGAGTAGCTTTGAAAGAGAATTCCAAATTACAGTATTTTTTCGTGAAAAGAAGTATTATCTGTCTGCGTTTCAAAAAAGTGTGCTCTGTTCGACGTCTGGAGATTCAGTTTTCTGACCACGAACAGAGTACATTTCCTCACTTTTTTATTCTCCTCTCCGTTTTCCCTCTCTCTCTCTCTCTCTCTTTCTTTCTTTTCATCCCAATCACTCCCTCTCACGTCCCCTCCACCACCCCCTCCCCTCCCCCCCCCCAAAAAAAAAATCTCTCTCTCTCTCTCTCTCTTTCTCCCTACCCTTTAGGATTTTACGCTTCACTTTCATGTATCTGTGCTCGGTTTCTAATATCCATACCTCTCGTTTTATGTTTTCCATATTACCCATCCACACATTTTCCTCTCTCTCTCTCTCTCCTACCCTCCATTTCTCTGTATATGTTTTTCTCTCTCACTCTTTATCCCCTTCCATCACACACACTCACACACAATCACACACACACACACACACACACACCACCTCCATCTGTCTCTCCCGACTCTCTCTATTTATCCCACCCAATATCTCTCTCTCTCTCTCACACACACACACACAAGCACACACAAACGCTCTCTCTCTCTCCCACGCACACACACACTACACTACTCCATATCTCTCTGTCTCTCTCTCTATTTATCCCACCTAATATCTCTCTCTCTCTCTCTCACACACACACACACCCACCACCACCCCATATATATATGTCACTCACACACACACACACACACGCACACACACACACACACGAACACTCCATATGTCTCTCTCTCTCTCTCTCTCTAGCTCTCTATTATAGTATTTTGTTTGCATTGATAAACCTCTGTGAAAGGAACATAGCCGTGCAAACCATCCAAGTAAACTTCAATCTTTAATCAACTATTATAATCTGCAAAAACAATTTCCAAAGTAATGTACATATTTACCCAAAAGTAGATGGAAAACTCTCAAAATGTATTCCTATTAAGTTTGTGAAAGCCGTACGTATACAACACATTTCCCTTATTAGATTTTTAATTTTTCTCTGAAAGGGAATGTTAAAAAGAACAACATTGCCTCATATACAAGGAATGATTTTCATTCGTTAGATGCCGTTATACCTCTTTTTTTAATAAATCATGGCAAGTATAATAATCATTACCACATCCCCAAAATTGGTTATGATTCGGGAAAGAGTTAATAACTTTGTTCCGTAGTATTTCATCATTGCTCAGTACTATGTAAATATACTGTTGCATTAACCCACCCGTCCTCTGAACAAAAATATCTACAAAATGAAAGTATATCAATTTCTGTAAACAGGCAGAGACGTTTCCTTTACGATAATATTTAACCTAAACTGTTATGTTCATTATAACGATAGTTTGTAACGAGATCATCGAACACTTGTATTTATTCATCAGTTTTGTAGTATAGTATAAGTTTCCTTATCATGCCTAAGTTTCCACCAAATAAAGAGGAAGTTGATTTCTCGGTTACTTCGTTTGTTTTGTTTGTTCGTTTTGTATTTACATGAAACCAGATTAACAACTTTCTCTTATAAACGGATTTTCTCTATTAGCAGAGGCCCAACTGTCATGTAATAAACTTCTCTTTTTCTCAAACGTCAACCATTTCCACAAAAAATCTTTGAATTGTTTCTAATATTTTCACGAAATAACGAGAATTGTTATTTCTCTCATACAGGAACGTGATGTTTCCAATTTAAATTGATTATAAAAACAACTGTACATAAATAATTCAAACTTATTTATGGACATTTTTGTGTTTTTATTCTTCAAATAGCATGCTATAAAGTTTGGATTCGTTTTCTTGGTTGAAATAATATGAAAGCAGTGTACAAATTATCTTTTTCCACATACAGGGACGTAATATCGTCAATATCAACTTTCCGAACGAGTTTACATTTTGAAAATGAAGCTAATTAGATTACTTTGTGAGTGTTTCCCCGGGCATGATTGTTCGAAAATCAGAATATCAGTCACTTCCAAAATATTGACTTTGTAAGTAGGATATTTTTTCTCCACAAACAGAGGCGTTCCTTCAACAGTATGCATTATTATCCAAACTGCCGTACAGCTTTTTATGAAGTGGAGTGGAACGAGACACATGAAGACCATATGAGAAAGTACAGTCTTCGGGAGCCTCCCAATCTAATCGAACAATCACTACTGCTTAAATGATAAAAATCTAATTCTACTATAGTTTATATATCTCATTGTAAAATTATTTGGATCAGATATTTACACATTTGCCTACCAACAACTCAAAGAAGTTAGAATGACGTTGCTATTAAGTTGGATAAAAGCTTTCAATATTGCCAAAAGACATTGCATGATTCAATTGCACCGTACGTAATTTAGGATGTATTAAAATTATTTTGTATTTAGTATTTAGACGGGGGCAAGGTACAAAGCAAGTATCTACTACTAATCAATTTTTTTTCCATACAAGCAGTTTGTATGATTTATTCTTCTGTTTTTCCTTTCATCTTTTTTTTTTGAGGCAACATTAAATAAAAGAGAGATATCCATAGCTATACCATTATGTCACAAAGTGGCATGAAGTACCGATTTGGACGGAGAACCTTCGAATTCTTGAGATCGAAGTTGCTTTCTTTCACGCTCTTTGAAACGTCAAACTGTCACCAATCACATCGACCATATGTAAACAGATAAGAGGTTCAACATTCAAAGGTGCCTTAATTTATAATGAGGTGCGAGACAAGTTACAAATACACGCCATTCCATAATCATTATATATATATTTTGTTTTACTTCTTGCATTTTCTTTACATCGTATTGCAAAATACGAAAATAAAATAACTGTGCTCCGCAGATATGGCATACATAGGCGTCACTGAAGAGTTGCCTTTTTAAGGTCTTAAGAATGTGTAATATAATAATTGCAATACAAAATCGTTGTTGATATTTTTTTATTCATAAAATTAAAGTACACAACAAGTGACGTTCCGAGATAGCATTGATAAGTTTGTGAAGAAAACAAAAGCCTATGTTCTTGATGCAGATGAGGCGTTAGCCTTTAATAGCATAAACTAAATGTATTTTCTTTCATTCCAAAAAGGGGTCAGTTTGCGATTTTAATTTTCATTTTTCTTAAGGGCTGATTTATTTTCATTTTTTCTTCTCAATGCACGCTATCACTGACATCCACGTCGTATCTCTTGAAGCACTGAACACTACAGATAGATCTTGTATGACGACATGTTGGCAGGCAGGTATTTCCGTTTTCGTAGAACAAGCACTTCTTTGCGCAGTTGACGAAATCTGCTATGCACACTTCGACGAAGCAATCTAAAGAAGAAAGAAAAGGGATACAAATTGCACTAAAACAACACAAAATGAACTTGACAGTTTACATTTTTATATTGTAGGTTTGTCATATTTGTGTTACCGTTTTGAAAGAGCTCACCTCGGGGTCCAACAAGTTATGGCCAATATCGGTTTTCCGCTATCGCAAAAATGTCTCGAGAACTACAAATAGGGGTACACATTTTTTCATGACAATAACAGGAAAATTTCATACTATTATATGAAATGCGGAATGTTAGCGTTTGCAATTTCGTAAATGAATTGGGAATATTTTGCCAGCAAGTGTAAAAGCATGTATTCTTAATTTAACATGTTTACTGTGGGTGTTTTTTTTTTTTCGTTCTACTTATCTGTTTAATTAGCCGACAATAATTTGGAGAGAGTACACAGTTTTAAGAACTGCGGAGGGGCATAAAACTTCCCCAACCCCCCTACAACCCTCTCCCGCCCCTCCTGCTACGTTTCTTGAGTTGCCCCTGTGGCATTAATCATTACGTAACCATTTACACACCTAGAACCTCCTCGGCGTCGTTGGCCCTCACTGTGAAAAAGTCAGTGTCTGAAATGAAAGAGAGAAAGGCAAAAAGAAATCAGTAAAGGACATGCATGCTATTTCGTATTGGCATACATTTTTACAGGTTTAAATGTTAGCAATGTATATTAAAGTTGGTAAAGTGGACAAGTATTTGGCCTGCTTTTACGACGACCCCTAGTTTTGATAGCATACTTCAAGCGGAGACATTAAAGTGACTCGGTAACATTGCCTCAGATTCTGAAACAAAATCCTGAATTTAGCCCATGCTGCAATCTTTAGGTCAGTCAGGAATCCCATGACTTTTACAAGCCTGTCGGATTATCAAGATGTTTATGATTGGAAATCGAAATTTAATTTTCCCTTTTCCTAACTGTAAAAAAAAATAAAACTACAGTCTATTGAGGAAAGTAAGAATGGTATTAAAACCCGGTCACCCGAACATTTTTTACTTTTTTGAGACACTTCATGATCATTTTAAAGCGCATTTGTTCGGGGCTTCAATATGATATCACAGATGCTGATAACACGTAGGGCCATGCATGTCAGATTTGGCATTGTTAAACAATGTCTTTAAAGAGCGTATTGACGGTTTTAACACACAAACAAGAAAGTTTAATTCCCAATTCGAAACTGTCACCTGTGAATTTCATGTGATTTCAATCTCTTTCTGCGAAAGCATCTACTAGGTGATAAGGATAACACGTAGGGCCATGCATCTCAGATTTTAACATTGTTAGACGATGCCTTTAAAGCTCATTGGTTATTTACGAGTTTATTTTCTGCAGGTAACTACTGGTTGACGTTTATCAAGGTGACTTACCTACTGGATGGTCCTTCTTGTCTACCCAGAACACTGCAATATAAGAGAAAATAACAATAATGACAACAACAACAAAATAATAATAATAAAAATAATAATATAATTAGTGGTAGTAGTAGTAGTAGTAGTAGTAGTAATAGTTGTAGTAGCAGTTGTAGTTTTCTGTTCTTGCAAAGCGCATAACAAATCTCTTCGTGCTTTCAAAGTTCTTTGGACATTATTGCCCTGGGTGTTTTGATAGCTCCAGCACCCACACAGAAACCACACAACAATACACCCGGGTCGAGAGAGGCAAGTGTATATTAGCGTCTTTATAAATTGAGGTAGTGCTGTGGCATGGAATCGGACCCCGTAAGAAAGACACAAATTATCAGACAAAAATAGCATCGATTATTCGGTAAAGTAAGAAGGGTTATGTGATATTATTTTCTAACTGTATTCGGCGCCATTGACATGCATCGCGTGAGGATTTTAAATGGTACTTTGGTTAACCATTCATTCGGACTGAATTGATATGGCGCCCTCAAAGATAATAGCAGAGTAAAACCATTCTTCCCATCAACTCTCTCTCTCTATATTCTGTTCCTATTTTTCGATTTTCCTTATTTCTCTCTTTTTATTTTATATAATCCATAATCATCTTCGCCTACTGGCATATGACGGGAATGTGACTTTCTTAATGTAAAAATAATTCCTCAACCTTCTGTTTCCATCTCTTTCTTTACTTCTGTATTCGACGAACTCTCAAATGAATAGCAGCTGACGTATTTCCAGCTTTTTGTTTCACTTGAACATTATTAGGAAGTAGGCTAACCCGAAGCATTTACATGATACATAATAATGTTGTTCTTTTTTTAACATGCGGGCCTAATGAAAGCTTTGTACTTACGTCTTTTTGCCGGAACTCTGTCTTGTGTTGTTTCAAATTGTAGACTGCAAACTGTAGATACAAAGATAAGAAATGCCTAATGAGTACATTTATGCAAGAATCTCGTATTTAATTACGTTCACTTCAATTCCATTCACCATAGACACAATTGTTCTTTATCAGAAAAGGCAATTTTATTTAGATATTATCTATACCTCTCTCCAATTCTCTCATATTGCTCTCTTAAAGCTACGGTCACAAAGGTTCGCACGAACGATAACTTCGTACGAATCTCCCTGTTTTTCCATTGTCTTCCCGAATTTCCATTGTCTGATAATCGTTCGTACGGCGCTCGTAGCAGTTCGTAATGGCATTTGTGACCGAGGCTTAAACCATGCGTTAACATGATATTAGGGTTGCAACATAGCAATATGTCTTTTTAACAACTATCACTGCAAAGATGATCTATGTGCTAAAGTGATCTATGTGTAAAGATCATTCTTGTGCAAATTTCCTCGTTCATCATGATGGCATCGAACATATTTTTTCCCCAACCCCCTCTTCCTCTTGACACCACAGTCACACCGCAGAACCAACGCCAGCCCGACTCCTATGCCTGGATTACATTTGGCCTGCGATTAGTCTACGGAGCCCGTATCCTGCCCGTATCCCCTTTTCCGTGCGGCCTCTGTGCGGAGGCAGGAGGCGGCCGTGAGATTTTCGTACGGATTCACGGGCTCCGCAGCCTTGACGATTTTGTTTCGCGAGAAGTTAAACAAATTTGAAAAAAATCGTAACCCGTAACCCGTATACATTTCGTAGGTGACATTGCACAATCCCCGCACGGGCATCGCCCGGAGGCCTCGCACTGATTGTGCTGCAAAGATTTTTCGGTGAACATGGGGGCAAAAAAAAAAAAACGTACAGAGATTGTAGACTCGTGGGGCATTCGCACGGCCATTGCACAGCTATCGCAAGGTTGCTGCCCGCTGCCCGTGCAGTATCCGTGATATTGAGCAGTCATCCCGCGCCTTCTCCGCGCAACCTTTGCACGGAAGCTGCACGGGCTCCGTACGATTTCCGTGCGGAGGCTGCGGAGACTGCACGGCTACTGCATTCAAATTGCACGATTTCCGTACAATCTCCAAGCAGCCTCTGTACGGATTTGCTCCGGCCTGCCCCCGAGGGTCAATTTAATAAATGGCACGATGCTCGTAGATAATGTAAACACAAACATCGTAGCCCGTAGCCTCCTACGATGTCTACGAAAAATCGTAGACTAATTTATCGTACGGCGTCCGGGGCAAATGTTATCTAGGTTTCTTTGCCATTCGGGGTTATGTTAATTTTTGTTCGGTAAAACGTCAGTCTGGTGTCGGTCTCGTATGTGTTACTGGAGAATAAATAAGGAAGGTTGTCGGTTTTGAAACACTAGGCACACTGCCAAACAAAATCCTAACCAACTCCTTTTTTTTACCATAGCTGATGTTTTCTTCGGTTTGTTATCGGAGTGATATCGGTCTTGTCGGTGTGAATCCACACCACCTAGATGTTAGGGCATTGAGGATAATTTTGTTCGTTCTGGTGTCGGTCTCGTCGGTGTGATTGACGTATAGATAAGGAAACGAATATTGCCATTGGCGATCCCGTCACACCGCAATACCAACCAATTCTTGCCCATGCAAGATAAATGTAATCTTTCGTTCGACCTGTTAACATCGGCTTGCTGTGACTGGGGTGTAAATGATGACATCGCGTTGCTCGGTTTCCTTTGCAAAATCTATTGACGCATTGCGCTATATACGACTTCCGTAAGTCACACGCCATTCGCAATATCATCGCGTAATCATCATCCATATCACCAAAACAAAACAACAAAATGTAGCTTTAAGACATATCGATGGAACAGATTCCCTTTCGGCCATAATCCGAAACGAAACTAGGACAACAAGTTCTTTGATTTATACTTTTCCATCTAGGTTGGTTGAACCGAGATGAAATTTTAGTTCGTCCTTTTCTGAAACTCTATCCCAAAGGTAAAAAATGGTATTGATCGTGCGATGAAGATATTGAGGACATTCCTTATTCTTTCTGATGGTTCTTTCCACTTTGTCGTTGTCGTTTTGATGTTCTCTTTCCGCTGTTCGTTTCAGGTTGGGAAGTAAATTGAAGTGTGATTTTTGAAGGATGGTCGGGCAGGGGAGATTAATTTGATTTATTTCATTATGTCGTGAGATCAATCCAGTCTGGACTCATATCATTACCCAAACGCTTGCCAAGTTTTCTTCATACACCCAATGCACGGTTCATCTCCTGTTACGCCTGCATCTTTCCAAAGTCCAATTGTAAATTCATGAATATAGATTTATAAAGTGCTCCAACTACTGGCAGTGAAGAAACGCACGCTATTAAAAAGAGAACCCGTTTCTAGAATACCAACATACTTACTGCATTTTTCGAGCTGCATTAATGGGAAATCATGCCCATTTAATAAAGCAGTCCGTTTGTTGGATGGGGTTTTGTTGTAAGCGTTGTTGATGATGATGATGATGATGATGGTGATGTTGATGATGATGATGATGATGATGATGAATAAGATGATGGTGATGGCGATGAAGAAGAAGAAGAAGATGATGATGATGATGATGATGATGATGATGTATATGAAGAAGATGATGATAACAAATAATAATGATGATGGTGGGGGCGATGATGATGACGATGGCGATGATGATGATATAATGATTTTGAATTCCTTTAGGGTGCAAACATGTTAGAAATGGTTCACATTTGCACCCTGCCCCTACAGAATATTAGTGCAGGGTTTTGATATTGTTTGTTGATGATTAAACCTGTAGGATGACTTTAAATGTTCAATACATTTTCTGTAAACTCAAATACTTAGGAAGTAGGCGCAGTAGAACCAATAAGTAAAACTTCATTATTAGTTTATCGCTCGAGTGTGTGCTTCAAAGAATCATCAATTGTAAGGGGGCCACATTGAGGGCGCTGTTGAGTCATTTCTTGTGTCGAGGATCGAAGGAGGCTGTTGTCAGGAGGACAAGACAATATTTTGTGAAACCAGAAAAGGAAAGTAGATCGAAGGTAGTGTAACATTTTCAGGATATGGGGTGGATTCTTTTTAAAAGGAAAGCCATCATGTTCTTTGTGCTATGATTTTCCTAACGGGGGGGGGGGGTGGTGTTTTCATAATACCAACTGATTGAATTGTGACTGTTCCGTCATAATTATATATATACATTCTTTAGGATTTTTGTCTTTTGTTCTTCATGTCCACTCTTTAGATGTTGATAAATATTATTTTGTTTAAATAATGGTTCACTTTATTTGTTTACAGTTTAACCATGTTAGCCAGTGATTTTTTTTTCCATTTCATTTTAGATTCAATCCTTTTTTTATCCAAGGTGCTTTCTCAATATCAAAGAATTTAATTTAAGATTCTTTTTATGAGGTTAAATCCGTGCTCCAAAGAGCCTATGTGCCCTCTAAATAGCCGTGTTGCATGGTGACGACGAAAGTCAATGCCCAATTTAGATCCAGTAAAAAATTAATTGATTCCCATTCGTCGCTGTAATGCTTTCTTGTATGATCGCTAGGGGATTTCCTAAAATCATTAAAACCGTAACATGCGTATAAAATATTTTACAGAGCAATTCAGTGGTATTTTGTGACTAAATGACTCCGTTTAACATTCTAAACAGGTAGTGCAGCTGTGCTGATCATTGAAATTCATAATTTAATGAACTGTATCCAACTCATGTTCAAAATAATTTCTAGTTCAAGGAAGGGTTTCAAAATAATTTGTGAACTTTGTCGGGGTCTTTCTTGTCAGTGTGGAAGAAATTCATAATAGAATGGTCTCCTAAAAACAGTCATTCATGAAACGCCCTCATAAAAAAAAACATAATGAATACATAAGTTTGTACCGAATTTCCCGCCCACATGCATAATGTGGTCCTATATACATATTGTTGTGTGACGTGCATTTTACCGTATGTGAATCCCCCCTTTATATCATTGCGATAATTGCACAATCTTAAATAAATACTGATTCTTACAACCAAACAATCCAATAAACCTCTCCCGATAGCCTGTAGACACAACCTGTCAAATTGTAATTACATGACCAAAACTTTACTTTATCTTTAAAACTTAATTCAAGAAGATACAGTCTGTATGACGTCCAAAACGTCAGTCACGTGGTAGGGACCAGATGGCATTTGCAGAATCGATTATTATTTTATATACAGTATTGTCCAAATACCCTGTAAAATGTGTAATTTTTCCATTTCTCCCCTTCTCCATCTGCCATCCATCGTTCAAAGAACATTGATTTTTTCTCATTTTTTCTTCTGAAACATGAAGAGCCTGTTCCCTTGAGTAATCGCAATATATTTGGCGTACTGCCATACATGAGGGAAGAGAATTGATTATTATGACGCCGGGCATAATTGAGACTCGTTTTGAATGCAATTACGGACGGGATTTCGGTCACTGAGAGGGAGGTCTCCGAAGGACTGTTTAATACGGGAGGTAACCAGTGAGAGCTTGTGAAAGATGAGTTGTCTTTGAAGGGTGCAATCCATCTCACTATCATCTTAAGAAGAAGGGTAAACCTCTCGCTTGAAGTATCCTCCCTCATACACCTCTTTTATGACAGATCTGTGATACTGACTTCGACTTTTAATCAATATTTTTTCTTCCCACCTAATGCTCGAACACACATGGTCTTACGAAACAGCGTCTCTTTACATGATCGATGGTTTCCATGTTTTTGAAGGTCTATAATTCCCCTCTCTGGTTTTCTAGAGTGGTGCGATTGTGTTCGCAAAGTTTAAGCTGGTGAAGAATGATTAATGAGTTCCGTTAAGAGTCATTCGATAGTCAGATACTCGTCACCATTGCGGTAACCTTGTATCTCTGAAAATGTGACCTCGGGAAAGTGACATGATTTAATTTTTCCTTCAAACCCCGTACCTCTTTTTTGTTTCAATCTTGATACTCAATACCCTTTTCAAGAGATGAAAAGTAGTTTTTGAACAGTATTCTTC